AGGGTCTGTGAAGCAAACCATTGTGGATTATATGGCAAGAATTAAGAAACATGATATTGCAGATAATTTGCTGGAAATGCTGAATTTTGGCACATAAATATTAAGATGGCATCAACTTCTAGAATCTAGAATTCGTTTGGCAAAACTATTCCCCAAGAGTACAGATGCATTCAAGAAAGAACGTCAAATTTACATAAACTGAAATCTAAGGCCTTCCTTACCGAATGTGTAGGCAGTTGGGTACATAGACCTTTCCGAAACTGAAAGGTTGTCCCTGTAAATGATAGTGTTCTCATTGATGCATTCCCAGTCAGAAACATCATTCCTTGCAATTTCATTCTCATTCAAAGGCCGCAGTCGAATCGAAACATAAATTCTCTCCTCACAGCCAGCCCTCTCCTGTATTTGCTCCTCTCCACCATCCACCCCCATCTTTCACCTTCCTTCTCCACACAATGCTAGAAATACTGACATAAAGATGAAATTCAGAACGACTTAATTAAAAACATGAACTTCTGCCTTTCTCTAGAGCTCCCCACCAAACTCTCTCTTCACTAATCAATCAATGCAGCAGAGCAAGGGATACTGTGGCCCTAGAAAACAAAAGGGCCACCAGCTTTTTTGGAGTCGGCAATCATGTCTGCATCAAACATAAAACAATCAAGGGCTGATGTTAAACGGCCAAATTCCTCAAGTTTTTCAATGTTTTGTCTCAAGACACGCAACCCAAAAACAAAACCACCTCCTTTTATTGATTCAGATGGAAGTACATATACCTACAATTATTCTTCTAGACAACGAAGAAACACGGAGCTCATGTAACCAAATTATTCATCAAACCGTGTTTAGATTTTTCTGAAAAATGGTCCCAATTAGGCAATTACAGAGTGTTTACAGAGTGTCAAAATTCAGATTCCCATGGTTACAGAATTGAATATTGAAGTTTTTTACATTTTAGGAAAACTACTAAAATAGAGAAAAATTAAGATATAAAAAATTAACAAAGGCAAGATTTTTACCTCGGAACTGAGAATTGGGATTCACAGTCCCATTCAAAGAATGTCTGATCTATCCTGAAGATTCTTCATTGGTTTCAATGGATTTGGATCCTCCTCATTTGCAAAAACCCCTCTTCGTTTTCTGTCCTTTTCTGTTCTGATTTTCCGGCGCTTTAAGTGTTACCTATATTTAGCACTGAATTTCTGAAAGAACAAAAATACAAATAAAAATAAAATTCCAAATATAGGACATGAGAAATTAACCAAATGGACATCCCCTCATTACCCAAATTTTCAGCCTTTAGAAAAAGAAAAGAAAATGCAGAAATGGGTTTCTCAAAATAATCAGAAAGAAACTGAAGAAACGTTTAGATCACGCTTTTTTTCTATGGATACATGGGTCTGGTTATGAACTTGGTTTTGTAAGGTAATGCAGTGGTTATGGTGTCTTCTTCTGTGTTTAATTGTTAGTTGACAAGGAAACTGCTCCTTTGATGAAGAAATTATGAGACTTTGCGTCTTTGATTCAAAACAAACGCCCGCCATTAGAGAGAGTTTTGATTACATTTACCTAATGAAGAAGATTAATGCTCAAGAACCAACTCCCTTTTCCTAACCACAAGTAAAAAAGTGTCTCCAACAGCCTGTATCTAGAGATCTGGGAAGTACAAAGTCTTAATTTATGTCTAAAATTAGCCGAAAAATGATAAAGATCCAATCTTTTTCACGCCCACAGTCCACTTGACATAAAAGCAAAATAAGCTCATATCTTCAAGAGATTAAAGATTCTGTTGGAAGTTGGAACGAAATAAAAACTTTGTTACAACATTGTTATCAGCGATAACAATATATGGTACTGCCATTATTTTGCAGTACTAGTACTACTGACTTTATGGTCTATTATTAGGGTAGCTGAGTTTCAATTGCTTCCGTAAAAAGCTGCTAAAGGAAGAATGAGCACTTTCGGACACGAGAAAGTCTGAAATATCACGGGGATCCCGTACCATAAAAATACAACATGTCACTCTACATTAATATGTTAGGTTGTTGATTCATCATATAACGGAGATAGCATTTATCGGAAAATTGAAACCTCCGTTAAAGTTGTCGACGAAATGGCCGGCTAAGTTCCGCTTAAACTCAGTAACAGATCTTGAATTTCATATGCAGGCTTTCTAAAATTTGTCAAGCAACTTGAAATTGTGTAGAATGGAAAGTTCAAAACCTGGAAAAGAAAGAAAATTAATGAGAAATTTAAGGAGATCCAAGAAAGGAATTCAAAAGGAGAGGCCGAGAGAAATTAAAGAGATTTTCTTTTCTAAGTTGAAAATTTTGAGAGGTTAAATTGAGAAAACCTGGGTATATCTTCTGTATTTTATTGTTACCTAGGAAATCATATTGTTTTTGGCTAGATGGACTTTTAGAGTTTGGAGAAAATGTCTCATATGGTAGCGGATTGAGTTTGTCATTGCGGGATGTTGTTCTGATGCCTTTCATCAAAATGGGTAAGAATAATTTTACCTTATAGCTGGCGAGAAGACTATCCAGTTTTTTGTCGATGACTTTAACGAATGTTTTAGTTTTCATTAAATGCGATCTTTGTCAAAGGATGGATCAGTAACATGACCTGATGTGTTACTGTAGAGTGACCTGACATGATATCTCCGTGATATTTTAGATTTTCTTTTGGAACACAGCCTTTTGACTTTCGACTAGATCTCACAAATTTGAATTGGATCACCTTGAGATTCATTGAATTTAATCACTTTAAATTTTAAATTAAAAGAATAGATTTATGACATATTTACTCAAATTTCGAATTGGATTGGGGGAATCTAATTTTTAAAAAAAT